TAGTCAGCTAGGACTCAGGAATGTTAGCTCTATGCGCTCATAGCGGCAAAACGCAGTACTACAAAAGCTCTGCCCACAAAAAAATTAGTTCGGTTTCTTTTGGGTACCCCATCGTATATATATCTATGGCAGGAATGGTTCCTGTTCAGTGGGGCCCACTGCAAAGTGCAAGTCTTAATCACTGAACTCCTAGTTTCCACCGATTTAATACTAGCTCTTTCTAACGGGCCCAGAAAACTGAAATTAACGATTGCAGAGCTTCATTGTGCTGACAACACGACACCCTTTATCCTCTAAAGTTTGCACTAACTTTACTGACAAGCAGCGATCACTCAGTCGTCAGTATAGTTCGCTTGCCAACTGAAACCATGGAGTTTCTTTTTTTTCTTTTTGACAGGTCCAACTGAGAAGGAACCCTTCCTCTTCACACCTGATGATGGAAAGAGATTCAGTTTCAGAAATGTTGTGTTTGAAAAAAAATCATGCTGGACAATGTCCAGAATAACAGTCATGTTTATTCTCTTGCAGTCTCTCAACAGCTTGTGGTATTTGAGGTTTCTAAATAGATATAATGTTACCACAGAAATATACCAAAATACACTAAGAAAAGCCTTTTTTTTTAAATAAATATCACAATTGGAAAGAATTTTTTTAACTGACTTAGAAATCCACATTGTTAAGGAACTCCATTATTTATTACTTGTTATTCAAATGCGCAATATATACCAATGTTATGGGACTTTATGATAACTCTGTCACTACAAAGGAGACTACTGGATTCTAATACCACAATCCACACTGTATACAAGGAGAGTTTTGGGGACATTTTAACAGAGAAAAAGAATTCCCACCTCCAACTGACATTAATGTAAACAATTTAGTCAAATGTAATATATATAATTTGCAAAGAAGTCTACGTGCAATTTGTCAGAACTTGAAATTCATATCAAATGCACTTCTCTCTATGAATCTGTAGTGAAACATTTCTAACAGCCCCTGCACACCTTGTAAGGAAGAGCATTTCATGGCAGGATTATATTTGTAATGAAAAGGCGACAACAAAAATAATGTTTGGCATAGACATCTCCAGATCATGGTCAGAGGGAAGACATTTTCTTCATTTATCACTGATTTCAAGCGGAAGGCATGACTTTTTGCTGACCCAGTCAATATTGAACATCAAAACCTGGGTAAAGGTGGAAACCTACATCCCAGTGCTGATTAATTCTTTGATTACTTAATGAATACACTTCAGCTGCTGGGGTTATACAGCATCAAATTTGAATGAAAGAATATTCTAACTCTGGCCAGGTAAGGATTTGAAATAAGGTAGTTATGACCTATTTTGAGGGCATTACCCCGCTATTCAATTACAGAAACTGAGGAAACTATGAAAAATCCTGTCTGGAAGTTCTGTGTTATAGTGAAATATCAGATTCCTTGTTCAGCTTGATATACTCACTGTGGCCACAGACATCGGTGGAGGTGTGTTAATGTGCTGTTCTTGTATCTCATCCTCTTGGTTCTTTGGTTCTGCCACATCCAGACTATGATACAGGAACTTGGATGCCAAACTCTTCCGCTGCAGAGCATAGCGGCTGTTGTTCTTGTGGAACAAGCGCTTGTCCTGTCCACAGATATATTCAGATTAGGGTTTTTAAAGATTCTGCAATAATGATGACTTTAATATGTAAAGCATGATGTAATGTGTCTGATATAGTATATAATGGAACAACACACTTCTTTGGACCAAGACAGCAAATGGGAGGATGAATGTGAATGATAACTGAAAAAGCTGTCGAAGGAAGTAGTCATTGACTATTCTAAGGTATTATTGAACATTTTCATGAAGGGGATGAAGAATACTACATGCATGTTTGCAGAGGCACATGAAACAGTTATAATAAGCAGCCTGCATCCCAGATCAAGGACTGAACTTACAACCTACCAAATATGAAACTAAAGTGTTGACAACTCGACTGTAGTGTTCAGTGTATGCTGTGCCCCATCCCCTCCAACCATTAATGACCAGGGTCAGATTTACGGTAGTAAAGGCCCTGGGGCAATTAAATATGGAGGCCTCTATCGGCAAAAACAAATTTAGCTTATGACAATTCTTTTCTTTTCCTGTTGTTTATAAGAAAAATACAAACTGCTGTTTTGTAGTTTTAAAGAAACAGATATCTCAATAAAAATCTGTGGACTCTTATTTCTGCTTTGTGGAGGCTGTGGGACATCTGCATGGTCACTCACCCTTGAAGATGCACTGGCATAAACACATAAACAATTCTGTATGTATGATTCAAACATGCTGCCAAAGCTGATCCCTCACAACATGCTGCAACTAACATGCCAAGTAAGAAAATACTGGCATGATGAAAAATTGGTAAACTTTACTAGGTGGTATAGAATGAAGACTTCCTTAAGAGGAAGTCATATATCCTTGTTCATGGCTGTGTTTCAACTATAAAATCAGTTCATAGGAAATAAAACTGAAATCTGTAAATTGCACTCTGATTTACGATTTGGTCCATTAAAATATATACTTCACATTTAATTTCACATTTACTTAATTACTGACCAAACATCATGACTTGGTGATTACCAGAAGTAACTGGGCACAACTAAGTTCACATCTCATACTGGAGGGATAGTTTGATTAGGAACTTTTGTGTGGCTTCCCCCAGCCAGGCAAATTCTGAGAATGAGTACTTCTACCTCCTTCCCAATCCATACTTCACAGTCATCTTTCCATTTGACACTAAGTGTAAGTCATTACATACACCAAAAATTAACTCAATTTACATCAAATTAAGATTATATTTTATATAAAGATCATAAAACTTGAAAAGATACTTTTTGATAAATTTTCTGCACAATAATCTGTTTCAATTAACAGCCTATGAGCGGCAATACCAGAATGGTAGGAAGATGGCAAACCTTTCCAGATGTCTTGTATGTAAAACATAATGTAAAGATTTTACATAAGGTCATACTCTGCACAATAACCTGTCTTGGGGTAAATTAATAAATTGAATTTCAAAACACAAAATGCCAATTAAGGTGTAAACATGTATTTTTTTCACTCTTGTTCACACCTTACCTTGTCACTCAAGGATTTCAAAACATGATCAGAGAAGAATTTTTTCAGCCATTCCCACTCTGTTTCAGCAGTCCGCAGCAAGTGTTTACGGATGTCAAACTCATCAATAAGCAGAGTGTTCTCAATTCGATGCACCATCATGCTGACCTGAAAAGGAAACTACATCTTCTCAGCAAGAACTCTGCAAACCCCTGACATTATGGCAGAAGACTTCATCCTATCCATTGGCCTTCTATACAGTAACCATGGAGATGCCACTAGACTTGGCACAGTTGCAGAAGTGCTGCAGGGTTATGGTCCTAGCTGCATGAAGCTCAGGTAACATATTTGATCAACACATCTACAATCCCACAGAAATACTTTACCTCTACCAGTATCAGGTAAAATTTGTATTAATTTATCTGTTAAAATTAAACTGCACACCTACCAAGGCATGAGGAGAATGGTTACATCAAAACATGAACAATGTACTGGGTGAATAAAAAACTGAATCTGCTTCATATTGAGCTGGTTGTTGTAGTGAAGAATTTGCAAAATTCAGAATGTAAATTAATATGACTATCCACCAACCACTGTCCTAATGATAAAACACATAAACTCTATCACCATGCACTACTACATGATTCTATTGGTTTCCTGAGTCCCTGCGGTTCTGCTGCAAGAAACAGGAACATTATATGAACCATGGTAAATGGGAAGCTTTCCTGTTGGTAGTCAGCATTTGTTGCTATTTGACTGGCATGTGTCTGCATTAACTCTATAAACATCATGAACAAAGTATAAGGTCAAAAACAAAATGGCATTATATGAAGGGCATTCCATATATAATGCCTCATATTTTTTTGTGTTAATATGTAACATCTGAGCTGGACATTGGTGGTGTTGTAGTAAAGGTTGAACCTTCCCGCCAATGCACTGTTAGTTTGGTTGTCATGCGACAGATAGCGACAACAGAGGAGTCTACCAAAATGGCGTCTGACATAGAAGTGCGTACGAAACAGAAATGTGTTATTGAATTTCTCACTGCCAAACAAATTGCACCCATTGACATCCAGTGATGCTTGCTAAAGGTGTACGGAGACGATACAGTGGATGTCAGCACAGTGAGGCAGTGGGTAGTGCGTTTCGACAGTGGCAAAAGTGAAGTGCACGACAAGCCACGCCCTGGGCGTCCCTGCTCAGCTGCCACTCCTCACAATGAACAGTGCCTCGATCAGCTCATCCGTACAGATCGGCGGATAATGACCAGGGAACTGGGTGCACGGCTTAATATCAGCTGTAATGCATTGGAAACAATGTTGGGGAAGCTGGATTATCACAAAGTTTGTTCCAGGTGGGTCCCACAGATGCTTACACATGACCACAAAACTCATCAAATGGAAGTCTGTCAGGACCTGTTGCACAAGTTTGAGGCTGAAGGTGACAAGTTTCTGGACAGCATGATCACCGGAGATGAGATATGGTGTCACCACTACGAGCCGGAATCCAAAACAGTCCATGGAGTGGCGACATCCGGATTCCCCAAGAAAAAAGAAGTTCAAGACACAGCCATCGGCAGTGAAAGTAATGTGCACGGTCTTTTGGGATTGGTGGGTGTGATTTTGTTGGATTTCATGGAGCCTGGTGAGACTGCCAATTCTGAACACTACAAAATGACGCTGACT